ACAACAAACTGAAATTGCATTTTTTTTTTTTTCTTTTTGCGAGGGACTTTTATAGGTTTAGTATTAAGCTATTAGTATTAAAATGAAACTGTTGTTGTTATCAATTTATTTGCCACACTACATTATATACCCCTGAAATCAACTAATATTTTCACTTCATAGCAAACGAAGCCGGATTACAGTGTCCAATTTATACCCCAAAGTTATAGATATATTGGCTTTCATTTCACAAATATAAACTATATAAAAAACAAAAATTCAAAGATAAACATCAAATACAAAGGTAAAAACAGTTGTACAACTAACATGGTCGATACCTGATCAAAATTCGAGTAGAATGGAAGTACTTTGGGGTAGTTTTGAACAGTTCCCCATGTTTCTTCAACAAGTCCCCACCATCTGTTCATTTAATGCAAGAAAATTATTGAATATTATGAACCTAAAGCTGAAGCTAAATAGAGAGATTTAAAGACCTAGGCATGCCGGCATTGAGATGCGCTTATGATCGCATAACAACCATGAAGATCAGATTATTGAAACATACATTTGTTACGAATACAGCATATTTTGAGAAGAAGTCATTGAATAGGACTAGAAAAACAATATTTTGCATCATCCAACAAATAAGACAGCTTCATAGATCAAAAGAATCAGAAAAAACTCCAATATCATCTCATGTGGAAAAACCAGAATATTACTTCAGGAAAATTTGCCACATCCATCATGGCAGGGATAAATGATGAGACATGTTGTTGCATCTTCTTCCACAAAGTGGCATAAACAGAACTTTCATAACATAAACACTAGAAAAAACAAAAACTGAACCAACGAATAGATCAATATATGAAAGTGCATGAGCATTACCGATTTTGAGCAGTTCGAAAGTCAGGTGGCTGCTTAGTCTCATAGACCCATCCAGGTGCAAATATGGCAGCTGAAACATCACTTTTCTTTATCACATCAAGGGCCACATTAGTCTGCCAAAAAAAATTGAGGGTTTACTCACATGTATAAACATAAGACTTATAAACTATCCCAACCCGAATTTGATAGTGAGAGATTCCTCTGCATATTATCTAATTTCCTTTACTTGTGGAAGTTGTGATTTTTGTAAAGATTTACCAAGTTGATTTCGAAGTATGAGAGTCAGAGATTCAGATATAGGTTCTTTCTCAACTGGTGTAAAATGCCATGTTCAGGTTTAGGATAGAGAGCTATTGCCCATCTCATCCCGGCCAAATTCATATATCTGCTTTCTGTTAATTTCAATCTTAAAATAAACTAATAAGATGTATTCTTTTCACCCAGGACAAACGGGAATTTTTTATTTATATATTTGGAGGAAGGGCTGCTGTCCCATGGAGGTGAAGCACACCATTAGAGGGTGAGTCTAGGTGCCACCTAAGTGAGGTTTCATCCCAAAACCAATTGGTTATGGGAGGAGTAGCCTACCAGAATAAAAATATTTAACTCATGAGCAAAACATGTATTGTGAAACCTACAGTCCATTGACCGCCACCATAAGTGTTCCTTCCAAAGACATCAATGCCCATGTAGACGTCGAACTTTCTGTCACCAGCAACATCAGCTGATAGCTTGGGAAAATTTTCCTGTGTCATTCAAAAGTAAAGACTCAACAGAACACGAATATATCATTATATATTGCAAACTATGACGAAAGTAAGTACCTCCCATGTATAGTTCACAAAAATTCCATCACACAAGTCAAAGAATGGCTTGTTCTTGTCATTTAATTGATTCTGCCAGCTAAGATCACCATCACGAGTAACACTGTCATACCTAAATAGTGAAAGAGGTAATAATGTCAGATTTGGCAAATACAAAGCTCAGGTCATATATATATAAAGTACGGTAACTACCATATAACTAATGACCCAGGTAGCGAAGAGTGCATGGTCTTGCTCAAGTGGCTGACAAATTCTTTCAGATTTGGTATTTGTTCAGGATCTAGAGTAACTTCCATATTGATCTGCCATAAAAAGGGCTGTAGAATCAATATTTCTGGAAATTGTATGTACTAGTGCCACACTATCAATGACAAAGCACCAACAAGTACTTTTATTTAGTTGTCTTAAAGAGAATTGTGAAGTTGACGTTTAAAATTCTTGAAGGGAACTGCATGACAAAAATGGATGATCACTTGTGGCAATAAGGACGCAATGCTGGAGTGCAGCACATGGCACAATAAAATTGTTAAAATAACGAATGAAGGATATCAATAGTCAATGCATATATGTCCCGAAGAGTATCAGGTATAGAAAATAAATAATCTTACCAGCCAACCATCAAAGCCTAGAACCACAGCCAGTTCTGTCAATCGCTCAGCATACATTTGAGCAGAATCCTTCGTCAATAGCAGCTTATCAGCAAGTTTTTTCCCTTCATCCCACTCCATGATGAAGGTTCCCAATACCTTAGATTAGTACATAATACAATAAAAAAGGTCTTACATGATCAATAAGCAAAACTCAGCGAGTATTCACATATAAATTCAACACAATCATATCCATCAACACAAGTTACACAACCACACTAACTTAGTGAGTCACAGCAATGCTATCCACGCACCTTCTACAAATTATAACCATCATCGTTGTTACAACAGTCCAAACAGCAATAAGTAATCGAGAACATAATTATTGGCAAAACACAAGACCATATTATATTATGAGCAACCACAGAAATGTAAGGCGAGAAAAAGCATTACAATTTCAAACCAAACAGCTCCACCATACACACACTCACATACCTTCACACCATGCCTATGAGCAGTATTAACCCAGCAAGGCGGCGGCAGGGTCACCAAACTATGCGAGAAGTACACAAAAACATCAATCATATACCAATGCCAAATCGCATACGCATCGGCATTAGTCCCGCCCTGCACATACCGGTCGTCCGCATACCCCCCCGCCATGTCATGGCAAACCAGCATCCGAGGCCTCCGGGGCAAGCCGCCGGCGGCGGCGGACTGCGGCTCCACCGCAGCCCGGTTGAACGGGTAGTGAAACGACTTGAAGTAGGCGCGCGACTCCAATTCCTCCAGTGTCCGGAGCGGGTACGAGATCGGGACCGCAGGCGCGGACGGATCGAACGGTGGCTGGGGGTCGGCGGCGGCGGAGGAGCCGTCTTTGTCGTTTCCGGTGGCGATTTTCTCCATGGCTGAGAGCGCGAAGGAGCGGAGGTGCTTCAAGGCGGAGAAGGCTTTGGGATGGTGAGTTTTCACATAGGCGATGAGGTGCATATGAGATATGTCGGTGGTGTAGAGAATCCATGGGAGTTGACTCTCTCTCCATTTTCGAAGTCGCTGAAGTTTTTCCAATCCTATCGAGAGAAATTGGATCCAGGTGAACGTGATTGGCTGCGGAATTAAAAGAGTAATGGCCTGTCGAGAGAAAAATATCACGCGCTGCACCCACAATGAGAGATATTAAACGGGCTAGTGGTTTTGGACTAGCTTTAGCGGCTTCAGATAAAACGGTTCGAGCCTAAAAAATTTGAATTTAAACGGGCTACAAAAAGGGACCTAACCTTAATCCTAGTGAGCTTTGGGCTAAACGGGCTATGCGGGCTATAATATTAATAATAATAATATTATTAATAATAATATATATAAAAATCAAAAATAAAAAGGATAAAAAATATATTAAAAAATTAACAAGTTAAAAATTATTTTTAACTACTATTTAGTATTTACCGGCTATCACTATGTTTCATGTGTTTCCTATTAGTCGTTCTGATTGACTTAAATATTTTGGTATGAAATACAATATCAATATTGTTCATAGTTTTTAAACCCGGCCCGGTAATCGACCCGGGCAGGTCTTCGGGTCACCGGGTCACCGGTTCAACCGCCGGGTCACTGGGTCAATTGCTGAACCGGATAATTAATTTTAAAATTTATAAAATTATATATAGAATATTTTGTGATATATAAATATACAAAAAAACAACAAATTTAAATATTTTGTATGTAAAATTTGTAGATTAAAGTGGTAATAATATATATATATATATTTTTATCATATAAATATATACCTAATTTTATTTTTTAAAAAGAAAAAGAAAATTAAAAAACAAAAAAAAATAAAAAAAATACATATAGACCGGGTCAACCGGGTTGACCCAGCCGGGTCAATG